GGGCAAAGTTATATTTTGTTCCTATTCTCATCTCATCTTCGAGGAACTTAAAAGCATATCTAGAGAAATAAATAGTAATATATTCCAGGTTACTTTTCTTGTTCTCTGGAAATATTTATTTCTTTTTACATAAATGAAAATAAAATCCTAGCTATTTAAATTGTGGTAAAAGTAAAAAATAATCATGTGACACTAAAATAGTTGAAAAAGTCACCAATAGTGACTTTTTTTTTCAGTTGCAATCCTACAAGATTTGAACTTTTTGATGAATGGAATTCTGACAAGTATTAAACAGGAGGAAGCATTTACGTTACACAGTTACCAGAAATAAGGGTAAGAAAGTTTTGACTACAGGGTTTCCATCACCACTACACATATGAGAAGAGGCATCATGATTTGTGTGTATATATGTTAAGTGTAACTTTAGAATTACTCTTTAGACATTTAAAATTTTTAGAACTATTTATAAGAGCTAGAAATATCAATGGTATACAAAACAGGTATATTAAAAATACACATAGTGATTCTGAATCTCATTCTACCAAAAAGACATTGATTCATAAATTCATTCATAAATATAAATTTTACTAAATTTAATTTTGATTCTAAACGTCTATACCATGGAATGGCAATAGTTTGGTTATTTCATTATCTCTATCTTTTTACTTGTTAAATCCTTTGAAACTTGTGTAGTGACAGGTTATAGAAGATAACCTGCATAGAAATCTTAACATTTTTCATCATCTACATATAGTCTTTTTTAAAAAGATTGATTTATTTACATATACAAAAACTGGGGTAGAAGCCAGAGGTACAGGGCTTGGGGGTGGTAAGAGGTTTCACCAGATCAGAGTGGGAAGCAGAACAGGCAGACTGATGGAAATACATTGCTGAGGGGAGCAGCAGGTGAGACAGGAGAGGTCTGCTGTGCCATGTGGGTTAATTCCCTGGCTGGGGATTGAACTTGTGCTGCAGTGGCAGCAGTAGCTTCATAGTGCTGCACTTAAACCACAGCACCACCAGGAAGGGCCCCATACATATAGTCTTGCAGTCACCTAGAACTTTGTGTTCCAAGAAGCCATTTGTGTTCACTTCATGTGTATCATCATCATAGCTTTTTCATCTTGAAAGCAAGGTCTTTGAGTTTTGATGATTCTCTGTGCCATGGCAGTACTACTCTCTACCACTCCGAAAACCATTTCTGTGGCTCCCTGAACTTGCAAGGAAGGCTGAGAGGTTACTCCAGAGGAGTAGCTAGGCATGTGCAAATGTGTCTGTGCTGTGCAGGGAGTACAGAGAAACTGAGGAGGCTTTGACTTCCTAAGATCTACCTAGGGTGGGTAAAATAGGACACAAGATAATAACACTTTCAAATCTGAACAGTTTTAGAGGTGATAGGGTACATTTTTGTCTCTCTTGAATTTGTCAATTAAGGGTAGAGAATGAAAAAGTTTATTTGGCTCTTTCAGGAATCCACAAGAAATTAAGAGCTCTTTCCTCCCATTTTTTCACCCACCAATCCCCATCTATATATTCAATATATATAGTTGGTAGGACATGGGAAAACCTGATTTTTATTTTTCTTACATTTTCCCAAGAATTTTGCTACATTTGATATTTTAATTCAAAAATTAAAAACTTCACTCTGCTTTCTGCAGTAACAAATATTTGCAATATTAATGTAAGCAAACATTGTACCAAGTAAATATCATTCTGTATGTGTGTAATAGGAAATGTGTCTTCTATACTTCTGTATTTTCAGTTTTTTTCTAAAAACATAACTGATATTCCTGGAAAGTTATAAAATTGAGAAAAAATATCAGTATAGAAAATTTTCACAAAATTGCATCTATTTCTGGTCCAGATAATTTTTTCATCAGAACAGTTTAGTTATTCAAGACTGATATACTCATTGCAGGTAAAGCTGAATGTATTGTTCTCCTCAGCACTCCAAAATTATAAATTGAAGTTAAGACATTAGCCAGGCTTGGCAGATCTCTCCTTCTCGCGCTGCTCCCTCAGCAGTGTACTTCTTAATCTACCTGCGCTGCTTTCCACTCTGTCTCTGGTGAATCCTCTCACCACCCTTGCACCTCTGGCCTGTACCTCACTTCTGTATGCATAAATAAATAAATCTTTTTTAAAAACACATTAGTCCACGGAGTTTTATTTATCAGCCAATTTGATCTTGATAAACATGAGAGAGTAATTTGTGGGTGTTCAGGATATTCAGAAGGTCTTAGAATGGGTGGAATACCAAGAGTAGAGAAATATTTACATTTATATTCTCATTATTAAGTAAAATCTTTTAATTAAATTTCTTTATTTACTAGGAAACCAGAAAAGCTTCCTTCCCTATTTCCAATTTCGCAATTCCTAAGTGACATCTATCTTTCTTTCTGGAAGACATACACAAAGGTTAAAAGTATGAAGTTATTTATGGTCAGGTGACATATTTTATATCTTATCCCTATCAAGAGTTTCTGCAACAATCTCAAACTATGCAAAAAATGATTTAATAAAGGAAAATAAAGAAATGATGATGAAAAGGAATAAGGACCAATATATTGTTTGAAATTAACCAGCAACTTATAAAACAAGTAAGAACATTATTTAGATTAATATAATCCTATAACCACTATAGTCCTAAAATGAGCAGTATCAAGCTTCATTAAACTTATTAAGAACCATATAAAATTTTATTATCAATGAACAGAGGGCACCTACCCTCATATCTGCAAATGTGAAGATGAATAAAAGCAAGTATAAAAAACAGATGAAAAATGCAAAAGGGTTTCTATCAAATCCCTTTGATTGGGAAAAAAAAAACAAAAAAAGAAAAACAAAAGAACACTACACATAGAACTTCAAAAACAAACAAGCAAAACCTGCCATCAAGAAAACTGTCCTCCAATGAGACTGATTTATTTCTTGTGAAAGTAATAATATTTAAAAAATATATAGGGCAATGATTTCTACATTCAAGAAAGTGTATATCCTTAATACATGAACAATGCATGCCAGAATCTATTCTTTATGGCATTGATCGCATTTGACCTATTGCCATGTGAGTGTGTGTGTGAGTGAGAGAGTGAATGCACATATCACGTTGTTATAGTATAAGACTCCCCAAAACTCCCCTCTACCTAATTCTAGTCAGGTCATTCAGTTGATTTTTTTTTTTCAAATTTGCTTTGTCTAAGTGCCAAAATGTTAATCATCTAAGAAATAAAATACTATGATACATATATATTAGTTTAGCCAACATAGGGAGAGGTGTTCAAATATAACTTTATATATAATCATAAAACTTATGTTTCTTTAAGAAAGTTGAGGCCCTTAAACTGTGAAGCAAAAATTAATCACAACTGTTCTCCACCACCCAAAAAGGTAATATGCTAGGTTTACTGTGTACTTGAAACATTTTTACACTGAATCCATAACACTATATTATTCTTTAAAGCATTTAAGTGAATTTTCTACTGTTTATTACTCATGCATTAACAATAATTCTACACATTATAGCTGTTCATTTGCATTTTAGGGAGCCTGTAACTAAGAGATCCAACTTACGCTTCACATCCAATCATCATTTTACCTAATTGGCCCCATTGAGAAATCATTTCTCTTAAACCTTATCTTTTTTTCTACTCCATTCATAATGCTAAGGAATATAAAGGTAGCTAACAGCAGCTCTGTAAAAATATGTAACTTAGCTCTAAAGAGTACAGCTCTTTATTGGTTGTCTCTCTTTGTGCTGGGTTGACACAAATTGCCTTCTGATATGAGCAGGATCAATTAAGCTGATAAAAGTAGAACTGTGTGTGAAAGGCAAGACCTAACTCTGCCATAATGTCAGAGCTTTCAGTAGACAATCTGTGACTCACAAATGAACAGTCAAATGGACCCGCTAGCCACATGTTTCTAGTATGGCGCTTAGGGAAATGCACTATATATTCTTCTTGATAGCAAAAGTGGTGAAACCTAATTGAATTGAAGATAATGAGAGTAACAAAAGCAAGGACTGGAAAGACAGATTTAAAAAAGCTCAGATAAGCAGAACACACTTTTGGCACACAAATGGCTATGGAACCTACATGAAACTAACAATATTGTTTTAATTTCATATACACACCAAAAAAAGCATATGATACTTTCATCAGGCCTATTTATTAATAAAACATGGAACTTGATCAAAGAGATTCATTAGCTGCTATTGGTGAAAAAGAGCAAAAGAAAAATTCTTGCTCTTATCCATAATTAAAACAAAATTGATGAAAAAATCAGATATTAGTTAGAAATTCTGCTGCAAATAAAATTGGGTCTGCCACTATTTTTACATCTTGGTTGTTTAAATGTTTATTTTGTACAATTTTGTTCATATTTTACAACTTCAGACATGAATGTATATGGTTCTAAATGGCAGGTCTAGATAACAGGGAAATTAACAATGTGGAAAGAAATGCTCAAAGTATTATACAATTTATTATGTAGCAAACAGATTGACATTCTCACCTAACTTTTCAGACCTTCTCCAGTCTACTGCTATCTCTTGAGTCCTACATTTAACAACATTTTTAGTGCACCTCTTTGGTGTATATTGTAAGAGCTACTTTTCCTGCAAATATGGAGTCAAGTTCAATTAGTATTGTACAGCCTTCAAGTTATGCAATCAATAAAAACACAACTGTTACGGATTGACTTCGATGTGTCATGGTGAATCTTTATTTTTGGAAAAAATATTTAACTTAAATAACTGGAAAGAGTTTACTGTATCTCAGAAAGGAAGTTTTTTTCTAAAGAATATAAACTGCAATTGAATAATTGGCCAGAGGTAAAATATATAAATAATATCCAAGTAGCCTAGAATCTCCCTTTCATATGAGATTTCAAGCCTTTATTTTCCTGCGTAGGAAATTTAAGAATGTTAAGAATGGCAGTGCTATAATGGGGTAAGATTTACATCCACATGACCGACTGTGTCTTGAATTGTAACTTACCCAAAGAAGTATAGCATGATTCCAGGAGAAGCGTGTATCGGTTTGAATTCCTCACAAAGCAAGCACTAAAAAGGAATAATAAATATGCCTTTAATGTACTTGATTCTTACTAAGCTCTCGAGGGGGGTCATCTGAGAAAGTAAAGGAACCACCCAAGAATTCTACAAAAAACAATCTTTTCTGGAGTCTAATAGTAGCAATCCCAATGTCTAAGTAAAAATTCAAAGAGCTGACTGTATTTTCACATTTCTTCCTGTCTGATTGCTATTTAAAGTTCCTGAGTTTGAGTCTTATTCAATTAACTGAGATATCCATATAAGCTGGCAACTAACTTATATACAGTGTATATTCTTAGGGCACTCTGAGCAGCCAGTCAGTAAATGAGTGGATTTAGGCTAGCCTAGGGTCTAATGATGAAGTACAGATTGCACCAACCCATTCATTAGGAAGTAATCATAAAGCACCTACATAAGAAGCAGGCATTATGCAGTATGGGAAAGGCATAAGGAGAAATCATCAAACACCAGTTCCAGAAATAATAATTTCAAAAGAAGATTTTAAAATGTCAGAGGAGTAACATTAGTTCAATGTTAGTTAAGTATATGGGAAATTTTGAAAAAACCTTCAAATTTCTGTTGCACGAAAATCACCTTCCAGATGGCACTAAATTACATGAAAGAAAAACTCGTGAGCTCTTAAGATAAATCTAAGAAACCAAACTATCGACATGTTTAAGGTAATCCTCAGACTGGTCTCAGTCCCCTGCTCTTGGTCCCAAAATTTGCAGGAGAAAGGGAGGAAAAGAGAGAGAGAGGAAAGAAGGAATTTATCAATTATATAACATATATATGACTTTCAAAGGTATTTTATTCTAAGGTATTATATTTTATGTTCGCGTATTCTTACAATTTTTGAAGAATGATAAGACACTTATTTTGAGTAATTTAAAAGAAACTGTGCAAGATGAAAGCTAAATAAAATAGTTGTTATTAGTAGGATCATTTTGACACTATAATTTTTTTGCCCACTGCTTTTATCATTGCACCAAATTGAATCTGTTTAATTCTGCTAGTGATTTCCAAATCCCTTACTAAAGCTCAGACCTTTTACATAATCACCAGACAAATAAATTTAGTCCTTGGCTTAAGTTTTCTCTCTAGATGCCCAGTAGACAGATGGAGTTCACCAAGTTTACCACATCACACGTCTTTTCAATAAATTTGAAGTTCTCATGTATGTTTTACAATTCATCATATAAATCAGAACTGCCTACATATTTTCAGTTTTCTTCTCTCGTTTTCCACCATATCTAATCAGTCACTAGTCCCTCCTTCATATTTTCCAATTCCAGATACCTTGCCAATACTTTAGTTCTGATTTACAGTATTGCTTGCTGATATATTAAGACAAGCCTTTGCAAGCCTTAAACCTATCCCATATTCTTTGCTTCCTTAAGTCCTTTATTAATACCTTCCTTGCTAGAAAATGTAAATGCAGCATGAAATCAGTGTCCAAATAGCAAATTTAACTACTTTATTTATTTTTTTTATTTGCTATAGCACAATATATTTTTGTTGAAGTTTTTAATCCTTTATATTCTCTTTTCTTATTATGGTTAAAATATGTTAATATTGTACAAGATCATCTAACTAAACTGTTACAAGCTAATTTATGTCTCATTTATACCTTTTTGAGATTGTATACCTTTTTGTTGTTAATACTTATAAATCTGCTCTGCTCTAGTTCATAATCCATGACATTTTATTCCTCAGCACTACAGGAATGTATTTTTCCATCTTTCCATTTCCCCTATCACTCATCTACCATGAGCCATTCAAAATATAACCACTGTAACTTAACACAATAGTCCACAAAAATATGCATGAACATATAAGAATTGTGGGTATAACCTTGTTATAGTTCTTTAAATGATAAAAATACTTTCAGAGAAAAATCATAGGAGAGTAATTTAATTCACAAACAACTTACAATACTGAAATAAAATGATGTAAATAATTTTTAATGCATGGAAAAAAGATTTGAT